AGTATTAAAAAACAGTTACGAGAAGGAATCTCACAAACTGCTGCAGTAACCGATGATTCAGTTAAAGAAAATCCGGAAATGTTTGGTTTAGTGATTGATGGAAAGTCTTTAACTTTTGCATTGGACTCAAAGCTGGAGAATGAGTTCTTGGAACTTGCGATTCGATGTAATTCTGTTATATGTTGTCGGTCTTCGCCAAAACAAAAGGCGCTGGTAAGATTCGTGTCAACACTTCTCGTTCTGTTTTCACATTGGAGTAATCTGGTTGAGAGGCATTGAATATATGTTTTAGGTTACAAGATTGGTAAAGAACGGGACAGGTAGAACAACACTGGCTATTGGAGATGGCGCAAATGATGTTGGAATGCTTCAAGAAGCCGATATTGGAGTAGGTATAAGTGGTGCAGAAGGAATGCAGGTAACAGATATACTTAGCTCCTCTTCTATTTACTATGAAATGGTTGTTAAAGCCCTGAAGTATTCTGTTACAGGCAGTGATGGCTAGTGATTTTGCGATTGCTCAGTTTCGGTTTCTGGAACGTTTATTGCTTGTTCACGGTCATTGGTGTTATAGAAGAATCGCATTGATGGTACCAAGCTTTAAAAACTCAACTCATTGCAAGAATTATATAGAATCTTTGCTCTTATTTCTGATTGTTTTCTTGTGATATTCAGATATGCTACTTCTTCTACAAGAACCTCACATTCGGGTTCACGCTGTTTTGGTACGAAGCTTATGCTTCTTTCTCTGGAAAACCGGCTTATAACGATTGGTATATGTCGTGCTACAACGTCTTCTTCACTTCACTTCCTGTCATCGCCCTTGGAGTCTTCGATCAAGACGTCTCTGCTCGCCTTTGTCTCAAGGTAAACATTTTTCTGTCTTTCTCGATTTAAAACAAATCGCGTAGCGTTTCTTGATTTTTGGTTTCCGCAGTATCCGTTACTGTACCAAGAAGGAGTACAAAACGTATTATTCAGCTGGGAACGGATCCTCGGGTGGATGTTGAATGGAATCATAAGCTCAATGATCATTTTCTTCCTCACAATAAACACAATGGCAGCTCAAGCTTTTCGGAAGGATGGCCAAGTAGTTGATTACTCGGTTCTCGGAGTCACAATGTACTCTTCCGTAGTCTGGACGGTGAATTGCCAAATGGCGATTTCAATAAACTACTTCACTTGGATCCAACATTGCTTCATCTGGGGAAGCATCGGAGTTTGGTATTTGTTTCTTGTCATCTATGGTTCACTTCCTCCAACGTTTTCCACAACCGCATTTCAGGTCTTCGTCGAGACTTCAGCGCCGAGTCCAATCTGTTGGCTCATTCTTTTCCTTGTGGTTTTCTCTGCTCTTTTGCCGTATTTCGCTTACAGGGCATTTCAAATTAAGTTCAGACCAATGTACCACGATATCATTGTTGAACAGAGGAGAACAGAACGGACAGAGACTGCGCCGAGTACGGTTCCCGGCGAGCTTCCGGTACAAGTTGAGTTTACTTTGCATCATCTTAGGGCAAATTTGTCTAGAAGAGATTCTTGGAATTGATTCGTAGATTACACAACTTAGCGTCATTTTTTTACTTCTTCTGACTTTTGTAAATATATGGAGGTTCCAAAGGAGATGAGAATGAATAAAGATTATAGTGTGACTACTTATATTTAAAAGTGTCGTTACTTTGTAGTAGTGTTCAAGAAAGCGGGCTAGGCGCTCGTAGACCGCTTCAATTTATTAAAATCAGTGCTATTACTATGCGGTCATTAAGCGGACTAGACAGCAATTAGGCGGGTTTGTACGGCCTAGGCGGAATCTTTTGCTTTTTTAGCTTAGACAATGGTTAATAGATAAAAAAAAATCGACATTGTAAATTTGTTCATGTAGATCAAGGAAAATCGAAGCCAAGAAATGTTTTGTATGATCTAAAACAAGCTCAAAGGCAATGCAATAAATGTTTAAATCAGTTTGTGCATTAAAGACAATGCAACTGGTTTATAAACCGAGAATTTTGTTTAAACTTTTTTAATGTGCTCATGACAACTCACAATTCTAGAGATATACTATTTCATGTTTTCTTAATGGTATAATATTTTAAGAACATTTGAGATTTACAACTACGCAAAACAATATTTAATTAACAATATAGAATTCTATATCACTGAATCCGGATAATGTGACGATGTGGTCTAATGGTGGAAGAAAATAATGTAAGAAAGATCGTTGATTTGATTTTGATAGCGATTACAAGTCTCTTTTGCTTGGCTCATAAGACTTCGTCAAGATTAGTGATAACGACTTCTAGAAGTATAACGAGTTACAACAACTTCATCTTATGCAAGATTATTGTTTTGGATGCTACAAATTTTGATGTTTTAGCTTAGACAAATAATGTTTAGTATATAAAAAAAATGTGTGACATTGTAGAATTTGTTCATGTAAGATCAAGGAAAATCGAAGCCAAGAACTTTGAAGGGTATATTGATTGGATATCCACAATGGGTTAAGAGTTATAAGGTGTAGTTGCTTATAATCAAGAAGTGTGTTATTCGTGGTAATGTAGCATTTGTTGAAGAAAAGTTGTACAAAAACCTATTTCATGAGCTAAAACTGTTTTGATTAGTGTAATTATACTTAACTCAAGCACGACTTTGTGCATATAGGCAATGCAATTGTTTTATAAACCGATCGATAATATTTGGTAAACTTTTGAAGTCATGATATGAATCTCGTTTTCAATACACAAGTAATCAATTTGGTTATTTGTTGCTTTTACTCACAATTCTAGAGATACTATTTCCTAGGTCAACGTTTTCTTAATGCGTGATATTTTAAAAAGCATTTGATATTTACAACTACGCAAAACAATATTTAATTAACATTATAGAATTTTATAAGAATATTATAACACTGATTCCAGATAATGTGACGATTTGGTATAATGGTGGAAGAAAATCGTTTGATTCGATTTTGATAGCGATTACAAGTCTCTTTTGCTTCGCTCATAAGACTTCGTCAAGAAAAAGTGATAACGACTTCTAGAAGTATTTTTATACGTATATACAGATGTACATATTAACATATACGTGCCCATGTGAGAAATTTTCTTATGACAGTATCGTATTTATTGCTTTCAACTAAATATTAACTTGCGTTAATTATAAAATGAAACATAAAGAAGCAATTTCGAACGTTCGTTTTCGAGAAGCTAAGATTACATTTTATATAAAAAATAAGTTTTGATTCAACGCAGCAGCCATTATTCATGATTTCTATTGCCTTTGTCAGCAAGTACGTATGCAGTTTCCTTATATTGAGTAGATTTGGACTACAATTCAACTTTGCACACACACATATACATCAATAATTAATTATATAAAACATGAAAATGTTACTTAATCATGGCTGTTGAACTAATTAGACGTAAGTGATAGCGATGATTTATGTCCTATTTATTATGAAAATGCAATATGGCATTAATATTAATATTAATATATATGTGTCCAAAGGTTCTTTTATTTTTTGGTCATCTTGAAATTTTATTAAAACTTGTGGTGGAACCATGGAGAGATACAAACGCCCAAACAAAGGAAAACTAAGCCGGCGGACAAACTATAAGTCCCCGGAAGCACTGCCGGAGGAAAAAACGAAATCTCCGGAATCTAGGCCCTAACAAAGGGAGACGAAATAAACTAGAATGACTAAGCAGAAAATATCAAACCAAACCCTAAAATATCAAACGAAATAAACTAGAATGTCCAAAGGTAAAATTTTTATTAAAACTAAAAATATTTCTGCCCGTATTTACTTTCTTAATCAAAAGAATTGATTTAAATATCTTGTTTTCGTATACACATGCTATAATTAGAAATTACACATTTTATTAATTCTGCTAAAGCTACAAATTTATTTTGTTTGAATGAAACAAATCAACAACAATCATACATTTTCCGTTAATTAATCAACAAATTTCCCAAAATTTTAGCAAAGAAACTACCATTTATAACAAAAATATAAAAATATGGATTATTAATCATAGCAAAGACTCTCCCAATATTCATTAATAAGGTGTTTAAACTAAAATATACAGAGATTATTTTTTTTACATTAAAACATCATTTAATACTTAACTAAAAATATTTCAGCTCATAATTAAAAAAATATTAAAAATATGAATGATCACGAGACATCAAATATAGTTTAATTTCTGTATAAAATTTTGAAAATTAAATAAATTAAAATGAAACTATGGAAACTCTCGATAAATTTTGAAGAAGTTTGAATTATAGCTTTCTTTTAGTATACCACTATTATTATAGACCTGACTGTTTTAAATGTAGTGAGTGTGGTTGTGGATGCGAAACTTTGTAGAAGTGGACAGTTGCAGTTTCAAACGCTTTGAACGACTATTTTATCTGCTAAAAACGGATATTGGGAGATTAGGGTTAGAGAATGATTAATGTTTGAAAATTAACGTGAATATATAATAGTTTGATGAAAAAAAATATATTTGTTATTTATATGATTTTTTTGACCCACCCACAACCATAAACGCTTGTACGAAAAAATTTAAAATTTATAACAATTTCAAACAGCTCAAAATAGTATAAAACAATTTATATGATTAGTATTAAACTCTAACAACCGCAAACATAGTGTTTCAAGTAGTTGGAGAAGACCAATCAAGCCTTGTATTAATCTAATTTAAACTTTCACTTGGTATTTTTAGGGGATCTTCTTTGGTCCATGAATGTTAAAAACTTTATTCAGAATTTGAGATATTATCATTGTCCAATTGATTTTAATACACTAATAAAATCTCAATCACCAAAACTTGTGGATCAAGTAGCATGATGATTCGCTTCTAGAAAATCCACGCGTTATGCTTCTTAAATCGTTGATGAGTCACATTTATAAGCTTCTACTTAATTACCAATATTGCCATTTCCATGTGCCCCAACCACTTCCTCCTATATATACGGCTATTTACACAACAAGACAAAAAAACTCCATTAAAGCAAAACTCCAAAACCTCTCTCTCACGCTTTTTCCCTTTCTCAACTGTAAAATTCTGATCCAATGGAGAAAAACGATGAATCTAGTGCTTACACGGCGTCGTTTTCACCTAGCTTCAGTACTTATTCCGGCGATCGACTCGTAGAAATCGCCGAAAGAGTTTGTTACAAAGAGAAATCAGATGACGAGTTCGAGTTTCCAATGACGACGGAGTCTTCTTCCGGCGACGATAGACTAGTATTCCCGGTTTTTAACAAGAATCTAATCTTCGAAACCAAAACCTCCACCGTGGAAGAGGCCGTTACAATTCCGTTGAAGGATCTTTTCCTCCGTGAACGTAACGATCTACCACCGCAACAAACATATTCATCGTCTTCTTCGGAAGACGAAGAAGACGACGAGTTTGATTCGATCCCAAGCGAGATCTATTGTCCATGGACACCAGCGAGATCTACGGCGGAGATGTCACCAAGTGGTGGTTGTAGAAAAAGTAAATCTACAGGATCATCTTCAACCTCATCATGGTCAACGAAACGATGGCGTTTGAGAGACTTTCTCAAGAGAAGTAAAAGTGATGGTAAACAATCACTTAAATTCTTGAATCCAACAAACTCCATTAACAGAGATGATGAATCTTCTTCGAAGACGATGAAGAAGAAGGAGAAAGTTTCAGTTTCTGCACATGAGAAGTTTTATTTGAGGAATAAAGCGATTAAAGAAGAAGACAAGAGAAAATCATATTTACCGTACAAGCAAGATCTTGTTGGACTTTTTTCCAATATTAATCGTTTTGGATCTATTCGGTGAAATTAGTGTTTTTTATTTTTCAAGAAATAATACGATATTATATTCGTATTTAATAAATTATAAAAGATGTAGATGTGTATTTTTTAATAATTACATCTTAAATTTTGTTTTTAGTTTGTACACAATTTTGATCATTTTCATAATCATATATTGTTGTATATTTTTTATAGTTGAAGATATTTTATTCAATTTAAAATTGACAAGTTGCTTGTGTTTTTTAGTGTGCATTTTTGATGTTTGTTGAGAGAGATAATGGATATAGACATGTATGTTAATGAAGACAACAAGAAATTAAACTTTTATGGATGGACATCATTAATTTGTAAATTGACAAGTATACATTATTTTGATTAGAGTTTCTTTCGAATGGCCCATGTTTTCGTAAATGCGATCTACTTATAACTGTGAATGATAAATTCTTGATTAAATAATTGTCTATTAGAGTAGGGTCATCTATAGAGTATAGAGTAGACACTAGCTATCGAAGTACACATTCCTTACTGGGCTACACAGTTTTTATAGACGATTTTTGTTTTTTTTGTTTTTTTGTTTTTTTTTCTATTTTCATAAAGAAGAGAAGAGAAAAAAGAGATCAAAGGGAAAAAATAAAATTAGAGGGGCAAGAGAAAAAACTTTAATATTTGTTAATATATATCTAAAAAGAAAAAATTGAAAAGTTTTTAACCCAATTGCAAATATATATATATATATATATATATATATATGAAAATCATATTCAAAAAAATCTTTAGTAAAATATCAAACTACTAATCTAATTCTATTGAAATAAATATTTGTTTATATATTTAAAAAGAAGTAAAATTAAAGTTCCGTATTCTATCCAAAAGAAATAAGTTAATATATTTGGAATTTTTGAGAAATGCATTTTTTATAATATTTGTTTTCTAGCTATGTAATAAACTATCTAAAAAGAGATAGTACCGTTTTTGCATCTTCAAATCTTACAGCATATCCTACCGCTGACTTCTAAGGCAGTTTGGCCAAAACAAACTCACCTCCTAGTGATAGGCGGGGTGTGACAGGCTGCACAGAAAACACAATTACACACTGCTCTGTTTATAAGAAAATTGTTTAAAAGCTTTAAACAAAATTGTACGTGGATATATGTGGCTCCACTTAAGCCTTTGCTGCCGAGTTGCAACTGCATTCGGTTGCTTAGGAACATTTTCAAATGCAAATATAAATGACTAAGTACTAACCATGTACTCTAGGATGGCAAGAGCAGTCGACAAAGGTTACTAAGGATCACTTGTTAGCTGAAAAAATGGTTGTAAAAATAGGAAATTATTCCAAAATCCAGAGAATATATACAAATGGAAGCAAACATTTAATAGGGCGTTAATCTTCACTATAAACTACTTAGTTATGATAATATATATTAGAAAGACTTATAAAATGTGTTAAAAATATCACTTAAGATGTGTCATCTACATCTTTGTCGTAGATGATAATTGGTAGATAACTGAATCTCCAAACATGTATAAAATGGTGGAGTATGTATATGCTTCCTTATATTTTTTTAAATTTTCTTAATGAGTTTATTTAGCTTACTCGCTCTTATCATCCCCTGTCACGTTAAAAATTAATAATTTTAAATAGAAAAAAATCTCATAAAAAACTTCCAAGTTGATATATTTTCCCAACTAAAACCTTCAATTTTTTTTCTCCCATATAAAATCTTTAACTAAATAACTTTGCCTAAATATATCTTCATTTCATCAAATTTGAGTCCAGTACCCAGTAGTTGGCTAACGGTACTATTTCGTTCGGAACAGTAAACGACAATTTATGACACGTTTTTTTTTCTGTTTGCTAATTTTTGAATTTCATACGTGTTTGATATGATTAAAAAATATAAAGATGAGTTCAATCATATATATACACACACACAAGTTAGTAACAATGGGAAAGATAAAAATCTTAATCACAAACTCTATAGTACAATCTTTTCTAATTTCTAGGGTTCGGAATTTTACCATTTATTAGTCAACTATATATTTCTCGGATTAATATTTGACGACTTGAAGGTTAATTTAGGTGAAGTTAATTAGTTGGAGGTTTTATATGGAAACAAAAAAAAGTTGGAGATTTTAGTTTGAACAATATTTCAACTTTGAGGTTTTATTTAGGAACAGAAAAAATTAGAGGTTTTAGGTGGGAAAATGTTGCAACTTGGAACTTTATACTAGGAAATTGTCTAAAAACGTTATTTTACTTTTAGCACCGGTTCAAAGAAATCAATCCAAATTTAAATAGACAAATCAAACTCGGGTAAAGACAAATCAATCCAATACAAACCCTTTTTTATTTGTTGGATACCACACAAAAAGGAAGAAAAAGAAAACTTACATAATTCAAGTTTATCATACAATATAAAGCGATCACATACTTGTATATAGACTTGATAACACTTTTCATCTGGCAACTTGATTAACCAGACACCGCAAAGGAACTTTCCCTCTTGATTTCGAAAGTGAGGCACATTATATGATTCGAATCTTTAGAGTCGTCAAAAATGTCTATGCGAACCCTTATTTTCACCTGCAAAGATAAAAAACGAGGACAAAAAAATCATTAGAGCCGACCAAATGGTGTTAATGAATGAATAATTTTTTCAATAAACATGTCTAAATCTATTTTCTTAGTTTGTTCTATTATGGTTCGATGGTCGAGCAACATGACTAATCTTAGGGTAGAACATGCTCTTTAATAGGAAGTTTCTCGCAAATTCACCATAATCATTAAACTACAAAAATTTGTAGTTAGAATGGATTATTTGCACCCAGATGGAATTCAAACCCCAATCTTGTAACATGCTTTCCAACTGCGCCGCCTCAGGCTAGGAACTCGAAACTATATTCAACTGAAGTGGAATAAAAAGCACAAGTGGTTGACCCCAAAACAAAAAGAGACAAGTGATAGATACATTCGATATTGTGCTTTTTCCTTGTCGAACACACCATTCCTAATTTTCTACTACGTTTTATTCATGACAGAGAGATCTCGAACCGAAACTCAAACTAATCTATAGACCCTGTGGAACATCGAATACTCTTGTATATTTATTATATATGTGCAACCAAAATTTATGTAGTACCTAATTTTTTATGGCGCGATTTTAACAATTAGGAGAAAAAAAATTGTAAGAAAACTTACCATGGGATAGAAAGGAACAATATTATCAAGGGGAAGCACGAAGGCACCAGGTGCAACAGGGCATGCCATAAGTGCACACAAGTCGTATTTTTCATTAAACAAATGAGTCATGTCTATTTCAACATCCACATGAATAACTCCTCCATTGATACTTTTACCTGTTCACAAAAAAAAGATTTTAACCATAAATAAGATCAGAAACTAAACTAAGATTGAAAATCTTGAAGAAAAATAAAGAAAATTAGCAAAGGGAGTCGATTAAGTACTTGTAGAACCGGATATCGTAAAGTTTGCCTTGTTATTATCCTTAAGTACTATCTCCTCCACACTAGTGACTTGAACAGGAGAACTTCCATCACCTAAACCAGCCGCAAAGAATAAGGCATTAAGACTTAAAAGTGAAAGAATACAAGTTTCATTACAAGTAAACACACAACTAAAACCATTTTATATGATTATATAAAGGCAAAGATGCATAAACATGAGAGATTGTGATAGATCAAGAATTCAGTTTTTGGCTTTATTCCTAGAGTCAACCCTAGCTAGGGATCGGTTCTAGAGAATCCGACTTCCAATCCCAAAACCAACCAATTATTGGCCAAACCGATCCTAAACATTTGATGCATCCACCGATGTTCTGTTTATATTGTTCTTAGTCCTCACTCACTAATTTACATAACCGATTTTTAACACTAGCAAAGTTACTATCCAAAAACCAAGTAAACAAAAAATGAGATTGTTGAAAAGTTGTATGAACCTTTCAACTCCTAATATCACATTGATCTCAAAAAGCGACTCAAGAACAAAGTAACAAGACGAAGAACAGAGTTAGTAGCAAACCGCAGTCAGAGTAATCGATAGCCCGCAAAGTAGGTAATAATAAGAGTGATAGGATGAGAAGAACAACAAGATGAACGTGAGAGATCGCCATGGATTAGCACTCAAAGATCTTCAAAATAAGAATATATTTTATTGTTTGGTTTGAGAGACAAGTTTGTAGTACTTGTTCATATCGTTTGCATGATATTATAGAGTAATATAGTGGATTGCTTCAACCTACTGGCCTTATTTTTAATTCTTCCACGTTATTGTGAAAACTTTAAAATATGCCTAAACCTAAAATATGCCTAAATTTTAAAATATCATCGACTAACGGACAAAATAATTGCTTATAAAATTTGCCCCAAGTGTCGCTGGTTCATTGGCTAATCGAGAGAAGAGATTAATCTTTCCCAAAAAATGGATTTGACTTGTATATTATATAGTTATCACTCGTATCACATGTGCCAAAAAAAAAATGATTAGATCTCTTTTATGAAATTTTGAAACTTATCTTTATTTGACTAGTAAAATAGATTAGTTTTAAATGAAATTAAATTACTTCTAAAACGTGTTGATAATAATAAGCGACCTTTGAAAATATATTCTAGGATATGATAAAGAGACGTAATCCAGAGCAAAATGTACAAAATGAAGAGCTGTGATTAAAAGCTGTACAAAACATTTTCTAGGATTATTGAAAACGTTTCTAACAAAAAATGATGATCAAGAGATATCCTCTAAATTATTTTAAGATTTTTAGAGCTAGAAAAAAAAAGGTACAAAGATGGAAATATTTAACTTTCTAAAACATTTTTTATGATTTATAAAAATAGTTCTAAGTTAAAAAGTAGTATTTAACAAATAGTTATGATAATGTGACCCTAAAATATTTTTGAAGTCGTTTTTATCAATAGATTAAAAATTTCTGGAAACAAAAGAATTAAACTAATCATATGTAATATCACTGTTTACATATTAATTTCATTTTTAAGTTACAGAAAAAAATTTCTTGATTTTGTTGAATATGCTTTTTGTTTTGGATATAACTATTGCAATTCTTGTTTGCCATTTCTACCATTGTCCATTGAATCCACTTGTGACTCAAAAGTCAATTTCTTGGTCTCCTTATATAACATCATCTTGTTGATTGAAAAATTATGTGGAAAATTCACCAAACAATTATCTATTATTGCAAACGACAAATTGTTTCTTGAGTTTTAAAATAAGAAATCTAAAACAATTCTTTAGTTTTCGTAAAAATTTTACGAGATTGAGGTTCAAAATACCGTTTGTTGGACAAAACAGATATCATCACTCGTTTAATAAACATACATGTATCATGTATACAATATGAATGAGAAATAGAAACTGTTATACATGTTTATTATCACAACAATTGGCATTATTTTCATCACACGACCGATCTCACAAACCCACTTAACTTACTTACCTTGAAGTCGTAGTGTAAATGCTTGTAACGAGAGAAGGACTTGTTTCAACCTCTCCTTAGCCGCTTCATCGACTAGGTTTCCTTCTGCATCGAATTTCTGAGGCGGCTGAAACGCATTGAGAGTAAACTCGGGTTTGTTGATGAAATGAAGATCAAGAAATACTCCGATTTGTCGAAGATGATATTGCGATCTTCCTCCACCAAAACCTCCACCGGTGCTTATAACAGCAGCGGGTTTGTCAGCCCAAACATTAGGTGGTCTTGAAGCCCAGTCAAGAGCATTCTTAAGTGGAGCTGGTACAGTAACAAATAAGGTCAACCAACAAAAAAAAAACGATCGAGTCAGAACATCGAAAAAGGTTTTGAATCTTATGTTTCCACATTGCTCAACATTAAGCAAAACTCTACAAGGTTCACAGAAACAGAGCTTACCGCAAATCAATAAAATTTGGAATTAACATAAGAAATGTCACAACTTCCCACAAAATCGAAATTTTCACAAGCCAACACAGTAAAAAAGAACTGAATTCCTTGAGCCTAACTTGGTCCATAAGTCACACTAATAAGCCAAATTAATAATTGTTTCTTGTTAATCTGCATATGATTAAGACAAAGATGGACCATGGTTACAACAACACATTTGATCAAATCCAATTAATGATACTTGATAAACCAAAACCCTAATCCTCAGACATGACACAACGAAACAAGACAAAACATATCTTCTTGTAGCAAATCAAGAAACCTCTAAAAGACCAAATCCAGTTAAAGAACTTAGCACAAGAAGAATCTTTTATTGAAGTTACCTGAAACAGAGAAATTGTACTCAGGAGAAGCAAACAAGATACTATCAGCTTCAAGAATCTTCTGCCGGAAAGCTTCAACAACCGGAGGATAAGTACCGTTGACTTCAAGATCCGTGTTAATCAACGGTAACGGAGATATATCAATATACTCTATTTGAATTCCCGGAACTGATTCTTTCGTCAAATCAATCGCTGCACGGAGGAGACCAGTGTTGAAAGAGGTTTTACGGAGGGAACCGGAGAGAGCAGCGACTCTGATTAATGGCTTAATCGCCGTTACTGCTTCCATTTTTTTCCGATTAGAGTTTGAGAAAGTGTTGACCGATGAAGGAGGATGAGAGAGAGAGAGTTTTACCAAAAAAAAAGGATGAGAGAGAGAGACAGAGACTCCACTAATTTTTGGCTTTGGAGCTATAAAACTTCTTAGGTGGCTTTAA